ATTGTGCCAATCTGGATGAATGTTAGTATGCAATACATAGAAATCCTGGAGTTCAGCTTTAATGTCTCCCTTCTCTCTGTAATACACTCATTAATGTCTCTTCTGTCACCTCCATGTTCTCCTGCTCTCTGTAATACGCTCATTAATGTCTCTTCTGTCACCTCGATGTTCTCCTGCTCTCTGTAATACGCTCATTAATGTCTCTTCTGTCCCCTCCATGTTCTCCTGCTCTCTGTAATACGCTCATTAATGTCTCTTCTGTCACCTCCATGTTCTCCTGCTCTCTGTAATACGCTCATTAATGTCTCTTCTGTCACCTCCATGTTCTCCTGCTCTCTGTAATACGCTCATTAATGTCTCTTCTGTCACCTCCATGTTCTCCTGCTCTCTGTAATACGCTCATCTCATCAACATCTCTTCTGTCACCTCCATGTTCTCCTGCTCTCTGTAATACGCTCATCAACGTCTCTTCTGTCACCTCCATGTTCTCCTGCTCTCTGTAATACGCTCATCAACGTCTCTTCTGTCCCCTCCATGTTCTCCTGCTCTCTGTAATACGCTCATCAACGTCTCTTCTGTCCCCTCCATGTTCTCCTGCTCTCTGTAATACGCTCATCAACGTCTCTTCTGTCACCTCCATGTTCTCCTGCTCTCTGTAATACGCTCATCAACGTCTCTTCTGTCCCCTCCATGTTCTCCTGCTCTCTGTAATACGCTCATCAACGTTTCTTCTGTCACCTCCGTGTTCTCCTGCTCTCTGTAATACACTCATCAACGTCTCTTCTGTCACCTCCATGTTCTCCTGCTCTCTGTAATACGCTCATCAACGTCTCTTCTGTCACCTCCGTGTTCTCCTGCTCTCTGTAATACGCTCATCAACGTCTCTTCTGTCACCTCCGTGTTCTCCTGCTCTCTGTAATACGCTCATCAACGTCTCTTCTGTCACCTCCGTGTTCTCCTGCTCTCTGTAATACGCTCATCAACGTCTCTTCTGTCACCTCCGTGTTCTCCTGCTCTCTGTAATACGCTCATTAATGTCTCTTCTGTCCCCTCCATGTTCTCCTGCTCTCTGTAATACACTCATCAATGTCTCTTCTGTCACCTCCATGTTCTCCTGCTCTCTGTAATACGCTCATCAATGTCTCTTCTGTCACCTCCATGTTCTCCTGCTCTCTGTAATACACTATTTATTATCCTCCTAATCTCGGTAATATATAATGCTTATTATTTCCATGCTCTCTGTAATACTCTATTAAATATCTCCCTGCTGTCTCTAATACACCATTAACCACGTCTTGCCTGGCCTATTATAATAATATGGGAACATTGTTATCCTGGGTGGATGTCATATGATGTCCTCCTGTTTGCGCACCCTTGGGATCTGTGACCTGCTGTGTCCACCGGGTCATTGTACCAGGTCGCTGTGCATTGTGTACTTTTCTGTGGCTGGTCACAGTGATCACACGGTGCAGGACTAATTATAGCAAGCATGCACTATATGATAGTTATGGCCAACCACAAACATCACAAAAGTGCAGAATGGCACATGAATGATGCCATTCATAAATATAATTGCTTATAACAGTGATCATCACTGTTTTACAAAATCCTGACCTCCTCCCCAGAGCAGTATAGTGTTACCATGGTGGCATTGTACTGCTCTGGTCACAGTATGTAAAAATAAATTGATGAATAAAAAAGAAAAAAGTTTAAAACATTAAAAACTTTTTTTTTTTACATACTTTTACCAGTCAGTGTTCCCAATCAATGCCACACCAGTACTGATGTGAATGTACAATATATTGTATACCTTTTCAATCTGGAGGAATGACATCCGCCAAAACAAATTAGCAGACCCACCAACACATTTACTGCTGTTGATAAATTATAGAGTCTGAGGACTATGGTATATATTTGAAAATTGATGTACTGATTACCTATATCATTTTTTACGGCCCTAAAATGTCAGTAGAGTACAAATATCCCCCCCCCCCCCCCAACCCCAATACCCATTTGTGGAAAGTAGACAGTCCAAGGTATTTAGTAAGAGGCATGGAAAGTTTTTTGAAGTTGTAATTTTTTGTCACAATTGTTTGAAAAATGAAGAAATGTTTTTTTTCACACTTTTTTCAAATACTGTCCCTAGTGCAGTACAGCGTCATATGACTGGTGTAGCGGTGATCAGGGATACTGACTGGTGACAGTATGTCAAATATAAATAAATCATTTTTAATTCAACTTTTACACATTTTTTTTTTTAGTTTTTTTTTTTGTAACATACTTTTATTAGAGTAGTGTTAGCATAGTGACATTGTACTACTCTGGGGGGTGATCAGGGATTTTTTTTACACGGTTACTGCTTAGAACTGTGAAGTTCACTGCTATAAGCAATAGTTTTAGCTGTCATAAACAGGTTTCCATTCATGACAGCTCAGTTGCTGTTGACATGCTGTAATTCCAAAAACATAACAGAATATGCAAAAAGGAAATAAAGGCCACAAATGTTGGAAACGAACGACAGATTGCAATGGATAGCAGGACCAACCCCCACAAATTCTTCAAATATATTAATAGTAAAAAGGTCCGGTCCGAGCATGTAGGCCCTTTACAGAATCATCTAGAGGGGGGGACTGGGGGCACAGAGAAGGCAAATTTACTAAATCCCTTCTTCAGCTCTGTGTATACAAAGGAGCATGGGGGAGCTCTTGTCCATAATGGGGGATGGTATTGACACAGCTCCAGATGATCCACATTGGCTCACAACTGATATGATCCAGAAATATTTAGACAGAATAAAGGTGAATAAAGCCCCTGGACCGGACGGCATACACCCACGGGGCCTTAAAGAAATAAGCTGTCATTTCAAAGACATTGTTTTTCATTTTTAGGGGCTCTGTAACCACTTGCCCTCTAGAGGATTTCCCCCCCCTTCCTGACCAGGCCATTTATTGCGGCGCTGCATTACTTTAACTGACAATTGCGCGGTCATGCAATGCTGCACCCAAAGGAAGTTTACATCATTTTTTCCCCCTAAATATAGCTTTCTTTCGGTGGTATTTGATCACCTGTGCATTTTTTTTATTTTTTGTGCTATAAACAAAAAAAGACCGACAATTTTGAGAAAAAAACTATATTTTTGACAGTTTGCTATTAAACACGTCCAATAAAAATATTAAAAATATGAAATGTTGTCATAAATTTAAGGCAAAATGTATTCTGCTCCATGTCTTTGCTAAAACAAAATCTCAATATGTGTAAATTAATTGGTGTACATGAAAGTTATAGTGTTTACGTATATATTGGAATTTTTGTTATTTACTAGTAATGGCGCCAATCAGAGACTTATAGTGGGACTGCGGTGGGCATTCTGACACTGGAGGGAACTGACTTGGTGTCACTGACATCCCCAGTGACACCAATACAGTGATCAGTGCTAATAAAAAGCACTGACACTGTACGTATGGCACTGGGAAGCTATTAAACTTCACAGATGTGCTGCCATTGATCATATTTATTGTCCCATCTCAGTCCTGTTTTTAGCACTTGAACATATTCCACAAGATCCTAGAGGTGGCAAATGGGACAGGGGGGTTCTGCAGAGAGAGATGAGGTGGATTCATTCTCAGGGGGGTCACCAATCCCCCCGGTTTGAATGAGTCTGCATCATTCAAACCATTTTTAACTGTTTAACTTGCATTTGTTGTATTTTGTATTTATGTATGTTTGTATATTTTTGTAATTTTCTGTGCTGTTTGGTGTTTTTGGAGGAACCATGTTAGGTAACTATTTATGTATTTGAATATATTTTTGTTTCTTTTTTTATAGATTCCCTTCCTGGCACATGGGTGTATGGCGTGTTGCTTGGGAGTATGTTCTCCTGGAGCTGCAATCCCCTTTTCTTCACTCCCTTCTGCCCCCACCCCATTTTTAACATTATTTTTGCTTATTTTCCCCATTTTTTTCCCTCTTTTTTCTTTTTTAATTTTATGTGTGTTGTACAAACATCTCAAGATTCATTGATCACCTTTCTGGCCTCCTGTGGCAGATGGGATCGGTGTCATGTGGTCTGCTTCTGCATTCCATTATGGTGGGTGTTACTGCTCATGTGGCAGTTGCGTGATGTTATGATGCCTTGTGTGACACGTCATCATGCCAGGCACATGTGCAGCTGCTTTTTTAGCCACCATCAACCTGGTGATTTCCTTGCAGCCTTGTGGTTTGACTGATGGGGTTGGGGGGCCCTTTCCCCCTTACCCACATTACATTAGATGTGTGTGGCTGTTCACTGGCAGGTATATATATAGTGGGTCTTCCCCTGTTAATGTCTCTCACTTCTTGCTGGCTGTGGTGATGGTTGTTAATGTCTCTAATGTCTGGGGCCTGATCTTCGGAGTTAATGGCAACTTCTAGGTAAACTGCTTTGTCATTTCTGCCTTATTAGTATTTTTGACTGTCTGGTTTGTGGGTCTTTTTTGCTATAATTGGAACACTCTTTTTTGACTCTTGGAGTTTCTACCAGAGTATTTTACTCTTGTTAACACATTGCTATAGGATTCTGCTATGTTTTTCCTGCACCCCAATTTTTTAGTGCTATACTTATTTACTCTCACCTTGGTTATTCCCATTAATTGTTTATAGGTTTTCAAACTTCAGTATGATTGTCTTGTCCTTATATACAATGCATTGTATTTCAGCTTCCTATTATGTGCCCGACATCTTGGCTGATGATTCCCACTGTGTGGCCCCTGTTGTGTGATCTCCTTCCCCTTCTACAGCTCCTGGAGTGTCTCCCAGAAAACTGCACTCCTTCGTTTTCTGCCAGAAAAGGAGTTTTGATTTTGATTTATGTTGTATGCTGGTGGATAAGTTATGCCTTTGGATTCAGGTGTTCCAATCCCCTCCATGGCCACAGGTATACAAAATCAAGCACCTAGGCAAGCAGACTGCTTCTACAAACATTTGTGAAAAAATGGGTCGCCCTCAGGAGCTCAGTGAATTCCCTGTTAGTGGTATTCTAACAAAGTGGAAGCAACTGGGAACAACAGCAACTTAGCCACAAAGTGGTAAGTCATGTAAAATTACAGAGCGGGGTCATCTCATGCTGAAGTGCACAATGCGCAGAAGTCGCCAACTGTCTGCAAAGTCAATAGCTAAAGACCTCTAAACTTCATGTGGCCTTCAGGTTAGCACAACAACAGCGCATAGAAATCTTCAAGGAATGGGCTTCCATGGCCGATCAGCTGCATCAAAGCCTTACATCATCAAGTGCCATGCAAAGAGTCGGATGCAGTGGTGTAAAGCACGCCACCACTGGACTCTAGAGCAATAGAGACATGTTTTCTGGAATGACAAACCACGCTTCTCTGTCTGGCAACCCAATGGACATGTCTGGGTTTTATGGTTGCCAGGAGAACGGTACTTGCCTGACTGCATTGTGCCAAGTGTAAAGTTTGGTGGTGGGGGGATTATGGTGTGGGGTTGTTTTGCAGGGGTTGGGCTTGGCCCCTTATTTCCAGTGAAGGCATTCTTAAGGCATCAGCATACCAAGACATTTTGGACAATTTTATGCTCTCAACTTTGTGGGAAGAGTTTGGGGATGGCCCCTTCCTGTTCCAACATGACTGCACACCAGTGCACAAAGCAAGGTCCATTAAGACATGGATGAGTGATTTGGGGGCTTAGGAACTTGACTGGCCTGCACAGGGTCCTGACATCAACCCCATAGAACACCTTTGGGATGAATTATAGTGGAGACTACGATCCAGGCCTCCTCATCCGACATCAGTGCCTGACCTCACAAATGTGCTTCTGGAAGAATGGTCCAACATTCCCATAGACACCCTCCTAAACCTTATGGACAGCCTTCCCAGAAGAGTTGAAGCTGTTATAGCTACAAAGGGTGGGCCAACTCAATACTGAACCCTACGGCCTAAGACTGGGATGCCATTAAAGTGCATGTGTGTGTAAAGGCAGGCGTCCCAATACTTTTGGCAATATAGTGTATATGGGGGCAGGTTATGTATAGCCTGAAGTTCTGAGAATTGCAGCAATGTAACATTGTACTACATTGGGGAAGTGATCAGTATTTTTTTTTTTTTTTACACAATTTGCTTATAGCAAAGAATTACTTTGCTATAAGCAAGCATTTACCTGAATGACATCGATTCATTCAGGGTTTTTTTTTTTGTGCTTAGCTGTGATTTGGCCACGGCTAATCATATGAAACAGCTGGGCTGTGATTAGCCCAGCTTGTGCATGTGGCCGCTGTGACCAATCACAGTTACACAAACTAGTATACAATGGATGGCATGAATGAAGCCATCCATTGTATACAACTGTCATGTGACCTGCTGTGATTGGTCACAGCAGGTCACATGGTATTGGCAACAGGGCCGGTACTCAGATCTGTCATCGGCCGTGTCTAAGGTACATGGCCGGTGACAGATCGCGCCGCTGTGTGGCTCTACAGGCGCGCAAACTGTGCATGCCCGTGAGGACGCCATATGGCGTCCACCCAGGCGCTAATGGATTTTGCCAGCTGCCATTCGGCCATTGGCCAGGCGGCTAATGATTAAATATATATATCTCCTTGCAGTTCCACCCTTTTGTCACAACATGACATTTCTAAATTCACAGTGGTTGTTTCCAATATGCGTCTAGATTTTGTAATGAGCCTGCTAAAGACACACAAGCAACATTTAAGAACAGCATAGAACACAAATATTAGTAAAATACATAACAAAATCAGCATGCCTACTTTCTTAAACCATCCAAAAAAAGCTCCAAAACTTCCCAACCCTTTAAAGGGGTTCCAGCCATCCTCAGCTATGGACAGAGCTTAAGCTTGTAAAGCATTTACCTGGTCTCTATGATTCTCAATGACTTCATAATAGTCTGGGATCTCAGCAGATGTGTTATGTATCCATGTAGAACACTCATAGTCAGTAGTAAATTCACACAGCCTGTCAATGCTGCACCCATTTGTTATATTAATTAATGAGGACCTGTTTCCTCAAGGCCCATAATTTGACATTCAGAAGGTCCACCTTTAGTTGTGTTTCATTTATAATCTGATCCATAATGAGTGAATAATTGTTCTCCTTTTTCATCAACTCTATCCCCCACCCAGTCCATGAAGGGAACCATGTCCAGACTTGGTCCCCTGTGCTAAATAGTTCCCGCTTATACTGTACCTACTTTTCAAAGTATATCGGGATTGACTATTAGCCTGTGAGTGTGTCCCTCCTATAACATCCATTACTGGTACCAGGGTGGCTAAATAACACCATCCTTCTTGTACCGGGGGATCCATGGATAGCAAGCTTTCCCACAACATACATGGACTCCTTCAGTGAAGGCTACTGATTGATTCTTTCATGCTTTGCTTACATTTGGGTTAGGGTAACCAACTAGAGCTAAGTTAATAAATACTCGGCCTAAACCGTAATACTTCCTGTGGTATATGTTACAAGTTATGTTTTCTATATATTTTTCCCATCTATTCTTAGTGGTATTTACTTGTACAAAGTTGCCATCCTCAGTTATTTTCCCAGTAACATTAAGTTTAGACTTACTACACAATTCTTCCCCTTTACTTGATTTACTGCCTTAATGAAAACACCACTCAGTTTCATCATAACTCCCAATACTTCACATCAGGGGCGGACTGACAACTCATGGGGCCCCCAGGCAATAGGAGATCATATGACCCCCTGTGTGCCTGCCCACTCAAGTCGCACCCACCCAAAGCCCCACCTACATATTACATTGCCCGCAATACATGCGTTTGTCACAGAATTTCTCTACAATATGGTCAAAATAAATGTTTATTACACAAAATAAAGAAAGAAAAACTTACATTAAAGAGAGCGCAACAATGGTACATTTCAAAATGAAGGTTTTAATGAATGTTTCCTATTCCTCCCACTGATACCAATGATAGGGCACTATTCCTCCCACTGACACCAATGATAGGGCACTATTCCTCCCACTGATACCAATGATAGGGCACTATTCCTCCCACTGACACCAATGATGGGGCACTATTCCTCCCACTGACACCAATGATAGGGCACTATTCTTGTGAATAAAATCATATAATGTTGCGCTCCAAAACACTCCAATTTATATATAAAATCACTTTATCTATGTTCTAAGAACCATATGCAGAAAAATAAAAGATGTGTATGTATAATAAATCAAATGACATAAAAAATACTAAATTAATATTGAAAAACCTCCATGATTATACTAAAATAATAACTGTGATTAAAAATAAATATTACTTTACTTATAAAAAATTATTCAGATGATCAAATGTGCATAAATAAATGAATAAATGCATCTGTGAAAATAGTGTCCCAAAAAGTGACTTTGTGCTGTAAATTAATCTTCAATCCATATTGCATGTAAATCCGTGACTGATTGTGAATCCTCCCATTAGTGAAGATGTACGCTCACCTCCTTATCTGCCTACAATTAGGCTATATGCGCTTTTGGTTCTCCTCCTATGGAACCTACTTGATTTGGACTCTTTCTTTTGGAATAATAGATATCCGTTGTTACTGATATACGCTGTGGGATTAATCCCTTCTCCAGAGGATTCAACTCCTCTATGCTCTCATCTCCATACGACTCTCCACATAGGAAAAAGATCTCAACATGGTGTTTTATCCTTTATAAAGATTGGCTTTATTGACTCCAAGTATAACACTCACATGTGTTGTATTCAAAAAATCGTCTCACACTGTGAACCGAGTCCTCCGCTGACTGTCAGAGGCATGCACCCGTGGTCCGGCAAACGAACTGACTCCCTCCGAGTGACGTTACAGTCCCACCCCTACGCGTTACGCCACTGGTCACGTGGCTTCATCAGGGGGATTTGATTCAAATCCCCCTGATGAAGCCACGTGACCAGTGGCGTAACGCGTAGGGGTGGGACTGTAACGTCACTCGGAGGGAGTCAGTTCGTTTGCCGGACCACGGGTGCATGCCTCTGACAGTCAGCGGAGGACTCGGTTCACAGTGTGAGACGATTTTTTGAATACAACACATGTGAGTGTTATACTTGGAGTCAATAAAGCCAATCTTTATAAAGGATAAAACACCATGTTGAGATCTTTTTCCTATGTGGAGAGTCGTATGGAGATGAGAGCATAGAGGAGTTGAATCCTCTGGAGAAGGGATTAATCCCACAGCGTATATCAGTAACAACGGATATCTATTATTCCAAAAGAAAGAGTCCAAATCAAGTAGGTTCCATAGGAGGAGAACCAAAAGCGCATATAGCCTAATTGTAGGCAGATAAGGAGGTGAGCGTACATCTTCACTAATGGGAGGATTCACAATCAGTCACGGATTTAAATGCAATATGGATTGAAGATTAATTTACAGCACAAAGTCACTTTTTGGGACACTATTTTCACAGATGCATATTATTCATTTATTTATGCACATTTGATCATCTGAATAATTTTTTTTATAAGTAAAGTAATATTTATTTTTAATCACAGTTATTATTTTAGTATAATCATGGAGGTTTTTCAATATAAAAATTTAGTATTTTTTATGTCATTTGATTTATTATACATACACATCTTTTATTTTTCTGCATATGGTTCTTAGAACATAGATAAAGTGATTTTATATATAAATTGGAGTGTTTGGGGAGCGCAACATTATATGATTTTATTCACATTTTTTTTTCACATTGGTAGTTATGTGCTATATGTTTGCGATCCGACTATACAGAGGACATATATATTTTATGTTGTATATTAGGGAGACCTTTTATGTTTCTGGCTCGCAAGATACTTTAAATATTTTAGGGCACTATTCATTCCCATCTGACACCAGTATGATGGGGCACTATTTCTCCCACTGACACCAATGATAGGACATTATTCCTTTCACTGACATGAATAAGGCACTATTCCTCCCACTGATACCAATGATATGGCACTATTCCTCCCACTAATACCAATGATAGGACATTATTGCTTCAACTGACATTAATGATGGGGCACTATTCATCCCACTGACACCAATGATGGGGCACTATTTCCCTCCACTGACACCAACGTTGTTGCACTATTCTTCCCACTGACCACCAATGATGGGGCACTACTCCTCCCACTGATACCAATGACGGGGCACTATTCCTCCCACTGATACCAATGATGGGGCACTATTCCTCCCACTGGATACCAATTGATGGGGCACTATTCCTCCCACTGACACCAATGATGGGGCACTATTCCTCCCACTGATACCAATGATGGGGCACTATTCTCCCACTGATGCCAATGATGGAGCACTATTC